TATATTGTTGTCCAGATGTTAATGGTTTATTGTCATAACCATTATAATCCATACCATCACCCACTATAAGTTGATCAGGGATTTCATTCAGTGGAAATAATGCTATGATATACTGATTTTCTTCTAAATCACGCTTTTGCTGCTGGTGCTTCTCTTCAACAACTACAACATACTTCCTGCAAGAAGATTACATTTTTAGAGTTTCAGAAAGATATGCAGAAAAAAACATCATACTATAAATTCAAATTTGTATTAGTCTGCCACAGACAAAAATTGTTCAACATTATAAATGTAAACAAGTAGTGTACATATGACATTAAGATGTATTCTTCCTATTGTAAAAGTCCTTGTAACCAAACATATAAAGCATGTTTTGCACATATTTTCACCACTTTGGAATTAAATTTGTCAATAAGACAGGAACTAAAATGGCCACCAGTAGGCCATATTAATATGTATTGCATTATAAACAAGTCATTGAAAATGAAACAGTCGCCGTTAAATTTTTGAAAGTTCTCTTTGTGCTTGTCATATTAAAGCGGAGGGGTTGTCGCGAGTGTGTTCTTGAAACTTGAGTCCCAAGTGGCGTATACAACAAATTGTTTATTTTATTACATCAAAACACGTGTTCAGTGTAGTAGTAATATGGCAAAAAATAAAAACGGCCATTATTCGGCCATCTTTGATCTGATTATGAAACACACTGATATGTATGATGTAAATTGTGGAAATATAGTAGTAAGGCCAAAAAGTCAGATGGCTGTCAATTGGCCATCCTTGAACAGATTTTGAAACAAATTGTCATGGAAATGCATCCTAACATGTATAAAGTACATTTATGTGCCAAATTTAAATGAAAACTGACAGAGCACGTCCAAGATACCGCATAAAAAAACAAAAACAAGATGCCTGCCAGTCGACCATCTTTGATCCAATTTATGTGCCAAGTTTGAATGACAACTGACAAAGCATGTCCAAAATACAACATTTTCAAAAAACAAGATGGCTGCTAGTCGTCCATTTTGAATCGAATCGCTAAACCACTGCATGTGCATATGTCCCACATAAAGTACTATACACATGCAAAGAATGAACGAAATTGGTCCAAGGGATTCTGAGATATGACTCCAGACGGACGCACAGAGAACGAATTATAAGTCCCCATTTTCGGACTTCGTCCGAACGGGGACTAATAACAAGTCAAACATGAAACAGTCCCCGCCATGAAATAGTAAAAAAAAAGAGTGAATTAAAATGTAGTTCGCATGAGTAAACTTTGAATGAAAAATCAAAATTGCCACAAGTAGGCCATTTTGAACAAGATGCATCAAACAAAAAGATCAAGGTACCATGATGTGAAATGTATGTATTGGTACCAATGAAATCCATCAATGTGACCCGAGATCCTACTCTGAAATGTATTATGTTTTAATGTTATTGGTCCAGGTACCGGTTTGTCAGAAATATATCTCCACAACAAAAGTCCTTAGAATCTAATCTGTTAAAACAAAATGTCATTGCATCAAGGGCCCATGCTGTTAAATTTTTGAGTGTGAACTGTCCATATATGACTGAGATTACTTTTCTGAATGGTAGAATTACTTGCGTTGAATGTATTAATTATTATTATAATGGTCGCCATTTGGACATCTTGAAACAATGGGAAAATACATGTATTTTATGTCACCATATTCATATTTTATCAGTAGAAACAAAGTAAATGCATTAAATATTCACTGGGTTTTAATTTTGCTATTTTTGCTGTTAAGTAAAATCCACTAAATTAAAACACAGTGAATATGATCAATACTGTGGAATACTTTATTTTCGCTGGAAAGACTTTTTGAGCGTTTTGCTTGGAATTTATTTTCACTGATTTTTTATGAGATTAATGTGAAATATAGGAAAAAAAGTATATTCGCTGGATTTTATTTTCACGAAATCATCCCTTCAGCGAAAATAGCGAAAATAAATTCCAAACGAAAATAAAGTATTCTACAGTACATCAAAATAGTGAAATTAAATGTCGATGAAAATAAAATGATTTCACATTAGATGGAACTTACATTTGTTCTGTATCTTTATTAATGTCTACATTATCATCAAACTTCCGCAAATTAATTGTTGCTGTAGTTTCCGTCAATACTGGAGCAGTCACCACGACAGGCACCAAAATAACAGAAATATCATCTAGGGAGACAATACTAGGATTAGAATTCAAATAAATACTGACCAAGCAAACTTGATATACTTGTTTAGGGATGACAGAATTATATGAAAAGACAGATGCAGCTTTGTATAAAAGGGCAGGAGACGTCATGCCATGCATGTGTGACATTTATGTTGATAAACATTGATTTTCCCATAATCCAATGTGCTCTTCGGAAGGGAAACACAAGTACTCAGTTTTAACCTAGGCGCAACTTGCACTAATTACTGCCGGTGACTCCATTGATGATAGCCTCTCAGCTTGCCCTTATTGATCTGCGAAACAGTCAAAGTTGCCATCTTGAGTCACAAATCTCGCGCATGCGTGGTGTTATGACCATCACATTTTAAAATATAACTTGATTATCAGCATGCTTCTGTGCCATTAAACTAGATTCAAACTGAATGTGATTATCATGAGAAATACTGTAAAGCATGTATCAAGTGATGTTGTGTAATGTTGGCCAATGTGATCCTATACCACCTGCATGCATACTTTCTGGTATTCTCATAACCTCATATGCTAATTATATATTAATTTTTTATAAATTAAGTTACCTTTAGCAGCATAAAAATGTGCCCCAAGCTACATCACATCAAGTAAAGGAGTGATGCCATGTAAGTGTGTCCTTATGTTCATGAGTGAAACTGATAAACATATGAAACACATAGTATCTGGAGAAATCTATCGTGAGCTAATTTTCATCATTTTTTACACATTAAACTTTGTTGAAAACAACTCTTGAAAGAAAGTTAGCTTACCAATTACAATTTTAGTTCCACTGATAATAGTTTTATGTTCACCAAATCCCTTTGATGTACTTGCATTCACTGATATTTCAAACTGTGTTGCTGCTGGTAGCCCTTTCAAGGTGTAAGGAGGAGGTTCTGTTACCAGGAGATCTTTTGATACAGGTGCAGTCGAGGAATACACAGAGTGAAGTGACTTGTATGTAATCTGTAACATAAATTTGTTACATTATATTTTCTAGTCTCAAGAAAATTACCTATCGATAATAAGACATCCTTTTTCATGTTTGATCTATTCAATCAAACTAGCAGTCATCAAGAAGAAAAAATGAAAAACAATTTTTGCTATAAATAAAATTATGATCAGAAAATATTCAAATCTTATATAAATTCACCTATGCTATAAGTACTAGGTATACCAAGAATCAAATCAATTGGAGTATAATCTTCGAGGAGAAGTTGAAATTGAAAATGATCAAATCTCATAGAAGAGCACCCATGGAACATATGACACAAAACGTGGGATGACAACAGGCAATCACCTACAGCAAAAGATTTGCTTGTCATCTTCAAAGAAGTTACTCATAATTTTTGAGAAAGATGGTCATAAATCATCACAATATTCATTAAATTATTATGTACAACCATGAAGCAATGGTTCCATGGTAACTTGAAATACCGGTAACATTTTTTTTGCATATTACAGAACCATATTTGTAGAAAATTGGCCTAATATTTTCCCAAAAATCAATATTTTTAGAACAATTTCATAGGATACAATGTTAAGAAATTGTTTTTATCACCTTTTAAAAATAAAAATTTAAAAATAATTTAGAATAACTGAAAGTATATAATAAATATTTACACTATATATCTTTTTTTTTCAAAATAGCCGTCATTCAATAAAATTACCACCATCATTTTCTCTAGAAACAGGCCGGTAGCGCACAACTTCTTTGAAGTCAATATCTTTATATTGTCCCGGAAAAAAAAATTATTGTAAAATGATAACTTCTGGGTTTTTAAACTTAAATTCCTGAGAATCCTGCGATCCAGTGATTTGATTTGCAACCAACCATTGCACTGTGACGTCATATATACATTTTTGCCAAACAACATGCAAAAGTGTGACAAAAAATTTCACTCGCTGATCAAAACAGAATGGCAATCTGCTGCGATAACATTTCCCATACATTATATTAGCAGGAAACACATACATGTATATTTAATAACAACAGCAGTGAATAACTTTATTTATTTATTAAAATTATTTTGTCTTCCAGTGTGAATGATTGGTTTTTGCCAACTAGTCACTGTGCACATGCACGTGCACATGCACAGAACATAAACAAGTGTAACTAACTAATTACAAAGATAATTTCAAATCATCAATTCTACACTTAGATAAACCAAGATATTTTTTGGGCTATTTTGAACAATTTATATACAGTGTGTATTTGGGCTCATACATTGTACATGTACCACTATAAATTAGAACTCAATGGATGACAATGTTAGCGTTTAGGTGAATTTCTCACAAAAAACACAGGTTTTAAATCTAAACCACATGTATGTAATAAAAGATAATAAAAGGGCATACTACATGTATGAGGATACCTTATTATTATACATCTTTTCCTTCCAATGATACATCATGAGAATGCCGAAATTCAAAAAGTTTAGAACAGAATCAGCGAACTTCTTTATGTGGAGTCCGGTCAAACCCTCGTGGCAGCCATGTTTGTTTTTATTATTAGAGGACGCTTATGCGCGTAATCATTCCATATTTAGAATTCGTATTTCCTTATATGGTAGGATGAAAATGAAAATACCACAAAATTACGGAACTAAGAGATTACGGGGCAGAAGTACAACTTATCGAGGATATTTGGTCAAAAAAATCATCTGCTTTAAAGGCCTCCTACTTTTGATTTCATGTTCCAATTGCCATAATAGTGTGTGTTAAATAAATTTCTAAGATTCCCATCACATGACCAATCAAAGAAAGCTTAGAAAGAACTCCTGTGTGCTGAGAGTATTGATGACACAGTAAAAATTAATTCAAAATTACTTGTACTTGAGATATTGATGGAATAGCTGAAAATTAATTATGTAAATCAGGTAACTGATATGAACAGATTTAAGTGTAAAACTAATAAGGTCTGCACAATGTACCTAGTTTCAGTGAAATGTGATTAGAACCCAAAAAACATTAATTATTATGCTAATTAGAGAGT